GCAAAACCAAAAATCCACAGACAAGATTTATAACAGAAGTAGTTCTCAAGAAATGCCTCATGAAACCCAAAACACAAGTCAGTGAAGACAAATCATCAGTATTCAGAAGGTCTGAATAGCATTGGCGATTGTGTGGGAGACAGCAGAGAGAAGCAATGGAACATCTGATAGACCTGACAAGAGTCCGAAAGAGCCAACAGAAATGCACCAGAAAGTACAGGAGGCCAACTTAAAAACAGTGGCTAAAACTGGAACAGGTTTTGTCCACTCCAATTGTGGATGGTTGGGTTAAGCACTGAAGGAGCTGCAGGAGTCTAGCTCCCAGGAATTTTCAGAATGAGGCTTCACACTGAATAGAAACTACTGGGAGTGAAATCGAAACTAAGAAGTAGGGGACCACAGGAATTAAGGAAAGAGGAGGTTCAGAAAAAATCTGGGGAAGGAAATAGAGCCAAGACATTACAGAAATCCAGCCACAATATATTTTAACACGACACAAAAACAACAGGTCTGTGAAAATAGAAAAGTTATTTGAACTGAGACTTTTTATAAAAGTTTAGGAAAAATAATTTTATATAAAAATAAGCGGAAGAAAGCGATCAACATTAAATCCATCAAAGTTTCTATAAGAAAAAAGAATAAAGAGCAAAATAACAGCCTACAGGCAATCAAAGCACACCAGAAGGGTATCCAAAACCAGATATAAATAGAAATGTGGTTTTCACAGTGAGCTGAATTTATATGGAAGTTATATGACATTTAAAACATAAATCATAATTAAACTCAGAAATTAGGTGAAAGAAAATGGCAAAAAAATTTAAAATTTAGAAATTAAGCCTATACTAGAAAGAACACAAGGGCAAATAAACACCACCAAATCTTTTTCTTAAGGTGAAGAAGGGGACATTTTAAATATATGAAAGAAGTAAAGAAAGGGAAATAAATCATTGGGTGGATTTAACTATAGATAAAATATGGCAGAAAACTGTAAGTGAATGGTAAGACACGTCAATAGAATATATGCAAACTAAAATTCAGAGAGAAAAAATAATTTTTTAAAAAGTAAAAGTAGAAGACAAATTACAGAAAATATAAAATCTGAGTGGTCCTATTTTTTGTGGTAAAAATTACAAAGCATGAGATCTCCCCTCAACAAATGTTTAAGTTTACAGTACTATTAACTATAAGCACAATGTTGTGCCATAGATCCCTAGGGCTTTTTCATCTTGCATGACTGAAACTCTATACCCTTTGAACAGCAACTCCCTATTTCTCTCTCCCCCAATCCCCTGGCAACTACCATTCTACCTTCTGCTTGTATGAAGCTGAACTACTTTGGATACCTCATATAAGCAGAATCATGCAGAATTTGTTCTTCTGTGATTATTTCATTTAGTATAACATCTTCAAGCTTCATCCATGTTTTAGCATATGACAAGATTTATTATTCATGGCTACATACACCACGTTTTCTTTATTGAAGTGTCAATGAACAGCTAGGTTGTTTCCACCTCTTGGCTATTGTGAATAACGCTGCAATGAACATAGGAATGCAAATATCACTTCAAAATCTTAAATTCAATTTTTCTAGATAAATAACCAGAAGTGAGATTGTTGGATCATATTACAGTTCTATTTTAAATTTGCAGAGGAATTCCATACTATTTTCCATAGTGGTTGCACCATTTTACATTCCCACAAATAGTGTACAAGGGTTCTAATTTCTCCACATTGTTGCCAACACTTGTTATTTTCAGGGGATTTTTAAAAAATAATGACCATCCTAACAGGTGAGAGGGTATCTTCTTGTGGTTTTGATTTGCATTTCTCTGACAATTAGTGATGTTAGGCATGTTTTATATGTCTGTTGGCCATTTGTATGCATTTTTGGTTTTTTTGGAGAAATGTCTATTCAAGTCTTTTACCAATTTTTTAATTGGGTTGTTTTCCTGTTACTGAGTTCAATAAGTTCCTTATGTATTTTGGATTTCAACCTCTTATCAGATGTATGGTCTGCAAATATTTTCTCCCATTCCATAGGTTGCCTTCTGTCTCTGGTGATTGTTTCCTTTATTGCAACAGATGCATTTTAGTTTGTTGTAGTCTCACTTCTCTGTTTTTGTTTTGTTGCCTGTGCTTTTAGTGTCATATCCAGGAAACCACTGCCAAGAACGATGTTATAAAGGCTTTCCTTCATGTTTTCATCTAGGAGTTTTATAGTTTCGGGTCTTGTTTTTAAGTCTTTACTCAATCTTGAGTTGATGTTTGTGTATGATGTAAGATAAGGGTCTGATTTCATTCTTTTGCATGTGGTTATCCAGTCTTCCCAGCACCATTTGTTGAAGAGACTATCCTTTCTCCATTGTGTAGTCATGGCATCCTCTTGAAGATCATTTGCCTGCATATACGTGAGTTAATTTCTGGGCTCTTCATTCTGTTCCATTGGTCCATATGTCTGTCTTTATGCCAGTACCATCCTGTTTTGATTAATGTAGCTTTGCAATACATTTTGAAGTCAGGAATATAAAGCTTCTACTTTGAAGGTCCTTTGAGATTCCTTATTAATTATTGGATTTTTTTCCATTTCTGTAAAAAAAAGTCATTGAGAGTTTGAAATGGATTGCTCTAAGTCTGCAGATCACTTTGGGTAATATGGATATTTTTAACAATATTAAGTCTTCTAACCCATGAACATGGGATGTCTTTCCATTGACTAGTCCTTTATTTTTAAAGACATAGATGGTCAGCTGACTAATGTCAAAGATGACAATGAATTATAATGAGAAAAGACTTATTGATTTTTTTCCGTAAGTGGTATTAAGTCAATTGGATATCCATGTGGATAAAATGAAATATGACCCCCTACCTAATGCTATACACAGAAAGTACTTTCCAGATGGGTGGTAACTCTAAATGAGAAAGGTCCAACAATAAACTCTTTCAAATAAAAACAGAAGAATACTTTTGGCACCTGGAGTAAGCACAGTTTCTTAAACAGCATATAAAAGGTGCTAACCCTAAAGAAAAAGAAAATGGTAAATTACACTACATTAAAATTAAGAATATCCCATCAAAAAGCACAGGTAAGAGAGTGATATGGTTTGGATCTGTGTCTCCACCCAAATCTCATGTTGAGCTGTAATCCCCAATGTTGGTGGTGGGGCTTGGTGCAAAGTGATTGGATCATGGGGGTGGGTCCTTCATGAATGGTTTAACACCATCCCCTTGGGGTTGTTCTAGTGGTAGCATTCTCATGAGATCTAGTCATTTAAAAGTGTGTGGCACTTCCCCTCTTCTCTCCCTTCTTCCTATTCTGGCCTTGTGAAGTGCCAGCTCCCTCTTTGTCCTCCACCATGATTGCAGGTTTCCTGAGGCCTCCCAGAAGTTTATTGAGGCCTCCCCAGAAGCCAAGCAGATGCCAGCATCACGCTTCCTGTACAACCTGTAGAATCATGAGCCAATTACACCTCTTTTATTTATAAATTACCCAGTCTCAGGTATTTCTTTACAGCAGTGTGAGAATGGACTAAAATAGACAGTCAGAAGATTAGCCATAGAGTAGATTATATGAGGGCTCATATCCAGAAATCAACACATCAATAAGAAAAAGCAGACAATCCAATAAGAAAAAAATGGTTAAAAGTCTTAACCAAGCTTTCATAGAAGAGGCTGTCCTAATAGCCAACGGACATGAAAAGGTGTTCAGTTTCATTAGTCATTAGGGAAATGCAGATTAAAACTTCAATGAAATACATCTTATGTACACCAGAATGGCTGTGATTTAAAAGACAGATATACCAAATGTTGACAGGAATACAAAGCAGCTGAAACTCTCACACACTTCTTAGTTTGTGTATAGTTTGGTACAACCACTTCAGAAAACCATTTGGCACTATATAGTAAAACTAAACAT